AGGGCTTGTGTAGGGTGCAGTGGAGCAGAAGGTGGGCTCTGGGGGCTCTGGGGGCCACACTGCCTTGGGACTGGGTCTTGGTTCCTTTACTCATGAGCTGTGTGACCTTGGGCAAGGTACTTCCCTCTCTGTGCCTCAGTTGTTCATCTGTAAAAGGAAGGTCATAAATTTTAGTGCCCCTTCATCAAAGGGTTTTTACATGTGTTAAATCAGTTAATATAAATATTGCCGTCTTAGTAGAGATGAACAATAATTGTTAGTGATTTTATGCTGGGTATATAAATTAGAAATTTGTGCATGTATAAGAGCATACCAGTTTTAATTATGTCCACATAACTATTTAAAATATATGTAAACTTTAATTATATGTATAAAGTATATATATCTATGAACACCCTGTTTGCACTTTCGTAACTCTAAAATTTTCTTTTCTCTGTAAAGTGTCTTCAACCAGATCTTCTTTGCTCTGATTATTTCACTCCCAGCCCCAAGCACAAGACTGGGAGAAACATCACTGTGTCCTCCAACAGGGAAAGGGCAAAAACACAGCCGCTGAGAGGATTATGTAACATAAACATTCAGTACACAACAAACACTCAGGAAGTGAGAGGTGCTAGATGGATCACTTCCTGTTTGCATCCAGGAGTATGTAAACCTTGTGTCAGTCGCTTAGTCAACAAATAGTCATTTTCTATGTCCTGGGCTCATGAACTGATTCAGAGCTTATAAGATCAAATGAGACATGGTCTGTAACCTTGAAGAATTGGCAATGTAGTTTGGGAGATACACTTATAAACCAATGGTCACAGGACAATGTGCTAGTAATAATCAAAGCATGCCAGAGCATTAAGGGAACTCCATAGAGGAACATTTATATCATGCCAGAAAGCAGCAGAAGGCTTCTCAATGAGGGTAGTCTTGAGCTGAGTTTAAAATAAAGAGTAGGAGTTAGCTAGATAAAGGAAAGAACCAGAAGACTGACTTGGACAATGACAGGGCCCATTAACAATGTGCTACCTTGAACAGTTCTGATTCCCTATAAAAAAAAAACACAAAAAAAACAATGTGCTACCTTAGGAACTACAAATCTTGACTGTTGTATCAAAAGAGTTGTAGACATAAGGCCGGAAAGCTAGACAGATTTCAAAATCATAAAAGAGTCTTGAATACAAGCCTAGAGAGGTGAGAGCAATTGAAAATTTTAAGCAAGCAGTAGATCAAATGTGCATCTAAGAACAGACTGGTAGCTATCTGGAGTGAACTAGTGGATATCAGACTAGAGAGGCCAGTAGGAAGGCTAAGACAATAACCCAAGCCATGCACCATAAGAGCCTGGATGAGGAGGCATCATGCAGGTGGAGAGACAGGACTGGGTTTTGAGAGTTTCATCTAGAGGTATTCTGCAGAGTCGGGTGACTTTTGAGTGTGTGAAATGAGTCAGAAGGAGGAACTGGGGATGGCTCCGTGGTTTCTAGTTGGGATGACTCCATGTAAGGTCAGGCTATTTCACCAAGGTAGGACATAGAGGAGAAGGAACAACATTAGATCTGGCATTTGCAAACAGTCCTTAACAGACATGCTTTCTAACACCCCGAAAGCATGAAAATATTACCTAGAAGGCACTGGGTAGCAAAGATACTAAGGCCTACAAAGAAGAGCAAGGCAGATCTTATAATTACGGTGATGAGAAAAAAAAAAGGAGCACGCCTTGTCTTGAATGTAACTTAACTAGAAATTTGGTTCCCATAATTTGTTGTTATTGAGGAGATAATCTCAGGAAAATACTGTCCTTGGAGAAGATAGCTACAGAAAGATCAAATGGATTAGTGGAATAATCTAAGAATTTTACAAATGATACTTGAAAAAAATCAACAAAACTCTTGTTTTACTTTTTTTCAGAAGCATTGACCTCAAAGTCAACCCTGCAAAGTCACTCTCAAGAGGTCACCACTCACTGATTCCCACGATCTAAGTCACTATGAACTTGTGCGGGGAGGCAGGAGCAACGTGACCAGGACCATGTGCTAAGTGCCTGTTTCCAGCAAGAGTCCTGTCTGCAAGTGATTCCTGTAGTGGCTGCATGACACAGATTCCCTGGTATACTTAAACCAAAGGAGAGGTGAGGTCTTTTATGCTTTATTCCTTCTTCCTCCAGGTATTAAAAAAAAAAAAAAAAGTCACTCTGTGAAAGGTTCAGGATCTAGCAAATTTAGAGAAAGAAAAGGAAACAGAAAAGTGATTCTTAAGAGAGGAACCTGGCCTTTGTATCTATTCCTTGTTTCCAAAACTCACTTTCCACTAGTCTTGGGGAGACCTCCCACCTGCCCCGGCTCAGGACATGGAGAAACCCAGTAGTAGCAAGGTGTTCTAGGATGGGCGCAGCCAACTTATGACATGAGGACTGATGAATGCTTGGCATTTGTCCTTCCCAACCACAGGTATCTTCGTTTCCTTTTCTTCCTGTCTATCTTTCATGTTATTTTCTTCTACATTTTCTTTCATGTCTGTTTCTTCTCACCTTCCCTTCTTTTGTCTACTCTTTTTATCTTTTAACTTCTTCTCATCTCCATTTTCATTTCTTCCTGTTATTCTTCTCTTGTTTGCTTTGGTTCCTTCTTCCTATTCATCCATTTTTCCTGCTTCTTTGACTAAAGTAATTAAATGTGTAGACTCTGGAGGCATATTCTGGGTTTGATTGGCCCAAACTCTACCACTTCTTTGATATATGATCTTGGGTAAAGTTTTGAACTCCCCTATATCAAAGTTTCCCCATCTACAATGGAGAGATACTAATACCAATACTTTAGAGTTTTGTTCTATGGGTTCACAAGACAATATAAAGCACTCAGCATAGGCATGACATAAATGTTAAGATGTTACTATTAAATTTTAAGTCTCCTTTGGAAACCCAGTTTTCTAGGCATAGTTTACCTCCATTTGTGTACCTTAGAAATAGAATAATCCCTAATCCCAGCTCTTCTAGTAATCTCTTTTCATGCAAAATCTAAAAAATGGGATTCTAATTCTAAATAAATCCTCAGTCATTTCACCCAATTTTTCCTCTATTCAATATCACAAAAAGAACAAAACCCAGTATTTTCCTTTCTCATGTAATATTTACATGTGACATCTAGATGTTAAAGAAGCAAAGCAATGCATATTAAAACAACAGGTAATTTAGTTGTTGGTCATCTTGTGGTTTAATGGTCTAATCAGATTCATGTTTTGAATTCTGCCTCTGAATTAAATGAATTTAGCCATTTAGGTTTTGTTTGTTTGTTTTTTGAGACAGAGTCTCCCTCTGTCACTTTAGGTAGAGTGCAGTATTATCATAGCTTACAGCAACCTCAAACTCCTGGGCTCAAGTGATCCTCTTGCCTCAGCCCTGAGTACCTGGGACTACAGGCATGCACCATGATGCCTGGCTAATTTTTCTATTTTTAATAGAAACGACGTCTCACTCTTGCTTAGGCTGGTCTCAAACTCCTGAGCTCAAGCGATCCTCCTGCCTCAGCCTCCCAGGGTGCTAGTATTACAGTATGAGCCACCATGGCTAGCCAGAGCTGTTTAGATTTTATTTGCTTTTGAATCTGGCTGGTCACATGAGCCAATTTACCTGACTGGCTTTGCTCTGATGGTTTTTTTTTTTTTTTTTTTTTTTGGTCCATATGTTTGGTTTGGGCTGATGAGTAGCTGATTTTCCCTTGAAGGTACTTCTTTTTTATTTCTTTTATTTCCTCTTTCCTCTTTTCTCCTCTTTCATTCTTCAATCATCTCATTTCCAACTTTAAAAAAATCTAAGCATTATTAACATGGAATGCCAGAACACAGCCTGAGGCAGGCACCTTGGGCAAGTCACTTCTCTGTGCCTTAGTTTCCTCATCTCTAAAAAATTTGCAATAGAAATGCTCATTATTGGTGTCTATATCTTTGTATTATTGTGAGAATTAAGTGTGTTATTTATATAAAGTGCTTAGGCCACTACCTGGCACATAGCAAGCAATAGCAAGTGTTTTTCAAAAGATAGTCCTTGATATATATCACCTTCAGAAGAAGAGTCAGCACATACTCTTTATTTACTTAATAGCCAACTATAAAGAAGAAAGAAAGGAGGTAGAGACTGGGGAAAAGAACACTGTTCACACTTGCTAATAGCAGGGAGTTTGAACTGCCCTGTAACCCTTGGAAGATGCTATCACATACAGGGAGTGGCAACTGCACACTCTCTGTGATAGTCTGATACATCCATAGTATAAGAAAGGAATGATAGTTTCGTGTGTTTGGAGGGTTTGTGAGTTTTGTGTGTTTGTAAAAATTGCCTGTAAACATTTATGAGAAATTTAGATTCCTTTGTGTAGTTTTCTCAGGAGATGGTCAGTAGTTTCCACCAGATCTTTTAAAAATCTGTTATTCCAAAACGTTTAAGATCCTCTGTCCCTAACACCTTGTAAGCATGACTTTGACAATGGGAAAGAAAGACCAGGAAACGGCGATCTCATGACATTAATAGACACAGTGCCAGCGGCTGTGGGTGTGAATGTTCTGTGACTTGTGTTTCCAGGGAAGAGAATCAGCAAAAGAGAGGGGAGGGTTTTGAACACTTTGGGCGCCCCAGACATCTATACCTCCTTTCAACCCCCTCCCCATTCCCACTGTTCCATCTTTTCTCAATCAAGTGAGTAATTGGAGGTAGAAGAAGAAGTGCTCTGGAAGGTGAACTTGGTCCCTTGAAAATCTATGGAGAACCTGCAAACACACCACTGAATCTGTTTAGCAAACTCTCTGAAGCCAAGACTGCCTTGGTTCTGTGACTACAGACAGGGAGAGCAGTGGCAGGAACAGAAGAACATACAATATTCAGTTTCTGCTTTCTTTTCCAGAATTACTTGACTTGGGAAGAATAAAAGACTCCGGATGAGCCATTTTCTAAAGTCACCCTACACGCTGATGTTTCTTATCACATGACTCTGGGGATCATTAATGTGTTTCCAAGCAGATAGTTCTGTATGAAGCATTTATTTACCCTTATAATTAATTAAGATGCATGTGTTTCACTGGAAGCATCAGCTCTGAGGCCTATATATAAAGCATATGATAGAAACAGGCATGCATATGGAAGGTGTATTCTGTCCATGGACCATGTGCTGGTAAGCTTACCATATCAAATGGTGATGAAATAACAGGAAAATACATTCAAAAACACACTCAAAAATGTATTACATAAAATAATTTACTTCTCATTCAGAATGACTTTCCAGACCTATTTGTGAGACAGCAGTCTGTGAGTACAGGTATAATCTGAGAGTGATGACAATTGTAAGAGGGCAAGACCAATAAAGTTTCACATCTGAAGTCAACTAGAGACAAAATTGTGGAACTTTGTGCAACAGAAAGAGACACTGTTGAGGAACTCCAGGGATATTAAGAGCAAGACTGCCAGAGAGACAAGAAAGGTACAATTAGAAAACCTACATCTTTAATATAATGAGACTTACATGCATACTCCGGTGTCTTCATTTTGCAGCCCAGTACATTGGCTTAAAAGCCACAAGGTTTTTGTGGCTCATATGTGTAATTTAAACTGGAGCAACAAATGTAGTGTGTGTGTGTCTGTACTTTCAAAGGCAAGTTTTAGAAGAATGAGAAGAAAATTACTTCCTGGGCATTCATTAATAATTCAGGTGATATCCTGCACCTCCATTTATAAAACAATATAATAATAAAAACATTGTACAAAACATCATAAATAACATAAATGTGAAATTTTCAAGTATTTCATGTGCCTTGAAAAGTTCCAAACAATAGTCAGTAGTTCTAACACTAGGTATCCTTTTTTTTTTTTTTTGAGCTTTCTTTTCCCTCTCATTTAGTCTCAGAGCCTAGAAAAAAAATGCCTTCAGTCTCAGTTAGTCCTGATGTTTGGGATGAAATTAACAAGATTCTTCTATTTTGAAAGAGAAAACTCACAGGGGCTTTTCAAGTTTGTGAAAACTTGTTTCTCCCTTATAAAATATAATCTTTCCCCTGCTGCTGGTTTATATAGCCTAGAGCCATTTGGGGGGGGGAATAAAAACAAACCAACCATCATGAACTAAGGAGCCTCATCTGATGGCTAAGCTTCTCAGGAAAAAAAAAAAGTGAGAAGAGCACCTTGATCAGGAGAAGAAAAAAGGATAGAGAATAAGAATAGTAACCTTTAAATTCTGTTCTCTTGCTCAGCTAATAACTTACGGTAGGTATAGCTGGCAAGGCCTTCACTGCATTTTTTCATTCGGCTCAAGCATCCCATCTCCCGACTCTATACCAACCCAGCTGCTAACAAGCATGACCTGAGCACCCAGGCAAAGACGGGAAGGCCAGCAGCTTAGGAACTCAAAAGTGCCATTAGTGATAACCAGCCCAAAAAAGCTCTGTGTCTTTATGATATTTGCTCCTTAGAATAGTGCTCAAGATGGAGGATGTCAGTGGTTAAATTAAGCATGAAGTGCCTCGGATGCCTCTCCAGCAAGACCCATGGAGTTTTATAGACTCAGCTTTCTATAAAAGGTTAGCATTTCTTTCTTAGCCTGCATGGCAGTTAGTGCAGTTTGCCCTGTACAAATGCAGTATGAAAGACCAGAGATCAGAACATACATGTACATAAACACATGCACTCTAGTTATGAGCACCTAGGGTCTTTCCCATGTACTCCTGCATCTTTACACTCACACACACGTATGCACAAACATCGATATGTATATACACACACAGAATGTATGTGTGTATGTGTATATATACACATAAAATATGTACATACACACACAAATGGACGTATAATAGGTCAACCTCCTCTAAACGTCTAGAGTCTGGAGAAAGTGCTGGCTCACAGAATACATGTGCATGTGGATGTCACATGAAATGTACTAATCGACCAACCTGAGGTCAAACTGTTGGGAGGAGAGAATTGCCAACAATCTTTGAAAATCCAGACCCACAAGGCCATTATTTAGAAACTTGCTCACATGGCACCCTAAAAGAAACTTGGGAAAGTTGGACTAAGAATGGGGGTCCGACCCTGATGAACACTCAAACACCAAAACTAAATCTAGTTTACACATGGCAGTGACTCACACATGGCAGGCAGCACGAATATTAGGCTACAATGTGGATAAAGCACTGGAGCTTAATACAGATCAATATTTGGCCTCAGGTTTCCCAGAGCATAGAGTCTTGGCATTTTAGCCTCCTGCCTCCAAGGGAGAATTATGCACACTGGGGGACCAGGGAAGCACAGTCTGCAGAACTCTTGGCTCCTTTCTGCTTCTCTGACCCACAGCTGGAAGGGTTGGCCAGGTCAAGATAGAATCGTGACTTGAGGAAGCGGCGGTATGAATCCTTCTCCATTAGGTTGAAAATCTTCCTCTGAGCTTCATCGAAGCAGGTTATTGTGGGCTCCAGCATGTTCCTGCATGTCTCCTCCCTGGTACAGGAGTCCAAGTTCACCTGAGGGGCAAAGGCCAAGGCTGCATTAGACTATCACCCTGTTGAGGATGGGAGGCTGCACCCTTTGGATAACAACAATTGACCATGCACCCTCAAATACCCCAGAAGTGACAAAAAAGGGACTAGAAAAGGACATTTGGCTTTACCCTGTTACCTGTGAAAGAGTTTAAAAGGTTCATTCTGCTTTAGGGTGGGTAGAGCAATATCTTTGTTCTTTCTCACCAATTTGGGCGATTAATTAGAAAAATTCATTGAGGGAGGTTATGGAAATCATGTGAATGAAAGAGCTGTTCTTTAAAAAATTGATTTATTTAGGGTTGTCAAGATTATAATAGTCTGCTTCATTGTTCTAGGAACCTTCATCAAGATCCAGAGAGTTCTCTGGATGCCATAAAAACCTACTACCTCTTTGGAGAGGTTGGTTAATGGGTAGAAAGAATAGTTAGAAGGTTAGAAGAAACAGATTCGAGTGTTTGATAGCAAAGCAGGGTGACTATAGTTATCAATAGTTTATTGTATATTTCAAAATATTAGAAGATTTGGAATGTTCCCAACACAAAGAAATGATAAATGTTCGAAGTGATGAATATCCCAATTACCCTGATTTGGTCATTATACATTATGCACATGTATCAAAACATCACATGTACACCATAAATATGTGCACCTATTATGTATTAACAAAAAACCCTACCTCTTTGGTTGCCTGGACTGAGATGAATTCATTGTATATCTTTTTGGCCTTGGGACTTAGTTTAGATGGTGATTTGATTTTCTTGTACTCTTCACAGCTGATCCAGAAGTCAATGTTCTCCTCACTGTATTCAGACTTCAGGAAAGCTTTGAAAGCTGCCAGTCCACCTGTGATATAGGAGAAAGAACCACAGCTGTCATCACACTGGCTGGCCTCTTGGATATTGTATTTCAGATAAAGGTGACATACTTGGGGGGACATAGTCATAGGTTCAAACAATCGCCTCCTTTTTGGGGGGTTCACTTGGGGTTAGGTAACCCTAATCTATGTTCGGTATCTAGTGGATCCAAGTGATATCTAATGATTATTGCTTAGAGGTTGAAGCCTCTTTCAAGAAAGTAGTTTGTTTCTAAAATGCCTATACAGCTGTCAATTGCCAAGGTGGGTTTGGGAAAGAGAAACTGAGCTTGATTTTGCAAGAAGATCTCAATATTTAGAATTTTTCTCTCTGCCCTTTTTCCTTGTTAGTAGAGAGATGGTTTTGCACATGGTTCCTGTATGAACGCTCCATTATATATCAAAAAGCTCCAGGGCACGGTAAAATTATAAACCAACTGGATACAAGACCAAAAGGTTTTCCTGAGTCTGGAAGTCAGAAGGAACCCAGGCCTTTTTGCAGTTTCTATTAGACCAGCATAATATGAGACAACTTGTCCTATCTAGAGTGCCTTTGTTCTCATCCTGGGGGGCAGGGTAGGAGCTGGCAGACTTACATTCATGGGTAATCAGGTTTTCCAGTGATTCAGCCCATTTCTTGACTTCCTCTTGGCTCACTCTAGAAAAATTACAGAGAAAAAGAATAATTTGAATGCCACGATACAAAACTGGTCCAAGAAATTAAAGATCCTGAATATAATGCAGAGGTTTTATTTTCCATCTTTATGATAAGATCTATTGTTGATTAGGGCAGTTTTTCACTAAATGCATGGAAATTTCTAATATAATTGTGACCCCATGAAAATGGAGGTCATTTTAATCCAAATTTGGCTTAACTTGGGGTATTACTTCCTTCTCTTCTCAGAGGATACCTCTATCATCAGGTAATTAATACTCAGCGGATCTTTTGCCAAGGTCTTTTCTCTTACCTCTGGCAAATAACCACTTTGTCCTTCTTGCTGTGGGAAGAATTATGTTCGCAGGAATCAGACTTCTGCAGCAGGAAGCCTAACCGATGTTTCATATCTTTTGCACTGCACAGAAAAGGAAAAAAAGAGAATTAATAATTATTATCAGCTTTCTTTAACAGACACCCCAGTGATAGACCTGGAAGAAAGAGCCCAGTATTAGCCTCTGGGGCAGAGGGACTTTATTTAAGGGACAGAAATTGGAGCTGGCAGGATCGCTGAGGAAAAACAGGACTCCTGTTTTGGTTCTGCCTATGACTTGCTACAAAACCTGGAGGCCAGAGTTGCAATACTAGTTCCTCTACCTGTAACTGGAACTCCGACCCTCCATTTTACCTCAGAAGCCTCTTTTGTACACCCATAGTTTTGACCAATGGAACACCTTTGGTATCTTCGCTAGAACCACACTGAAACCTTGACAGTTCTTTGTGTCATTTTCAGGAGCTGGAAAGCAAGCTGCAACTGCAAAATGCGGCACAGCCTTGCGGCGCGCCACCTTCTGGCCGGGGGCTGCAAGTTTCCATCTGTCTCCCTGCCGGTGGAAGTCCCTCAGGGAAGTCCCTCAGGTCTATTCAGTTCCAGCCACGTATACGGTGGGCCAAGCAATTCACGTTTGGGGGCACACGCGGAGTAACGCTGAGGTGTGCAGCCCCAGCAGCGGGAAGTGGAAAGTGGCGTGGGGAACGCAAATGCTCTATCCTCAAGGAGCCTGAGCTCCTTGAGGCTTGTTTCCAGTCGATTTCCTGCTGTTTGCTGCTTTCCTTTCTTTATATACACTAATAAAGGGCATTTGAGGCTTAAAAACAACAAAGGAGAAACAAACTAGAGTCATCACTGAAGCTAGTGGGTTTTTTAATTAGAGCAGAGCGCTCAGCTTATTGCCACCATTGAACAGGTAGCCCGGGTACAGCAGGCCTCCTGACTCACTGGAGAGCAGGACCCTTGCATCAGCTTTTAGCTCAACTCTCTCACTCTTTATGAATTACTCTTGTGCTTGTGCATCTTTTATAATAAAAGCAAAGAAATGCTTTAAAAAGAGGAATGCCATTTAAAAAGAAACAAATAAATAGATGTTCCTTCTTGGGAGGTAAAAATAAAGTCACAAAGTATAAAGACATTTTAGGGTGGCTACTTATTATATGCTAGTGGCTTATCTATGTGGTTTTCCCAGATGGTTTGAATTCCATTATGCTCCTGAACTGCCCCTTAAATAGTATCTTCTCTCCCTTCCAAGACTGCTTCCCTGACTCGTGACTGGTCAGGGGATATAAAGTCCTCCTCGATGATAGCAAGATACAATCATGAAGGTCAGGGTGATCCTAAGGTGTTGATATATGCGTACTTCAAGTCCAGAGAGAAATTATTTCATATTTTCACATGTCAACTCTGATCCAATAATTATTGACCAATGCAGGGTCATTTTGTGATGATTTGGAATTATGCTTAGCAAATACACCTATAATACATAGCATAACATAATACAACCATAAAAATAGAAACAAAAATAACATCATAAGTCACCAGAGGCAGGAAATTTGGATTTGGCCCTCACTCAGTCACCACCTATGTGACCTTGAGCAGTTGATAGCCACTCTGAAGTCTCAGACACTGATGATAAAGGTGTTAGACTAGATGATTTACAATTTACCAGTGAGGAAAGGAAAGAGCATCTCACTCTGCTAATGTAGAGTTTACCTCCTTAGGTTAGCTGATGAACTCTTTAAGGGCAAAAAAACTCTAATACTGTCTTCTACCTATCTGTCTTCCAAAATATTTACCAGAACATAACTTTCTCCTGACATTCTTGTATTTTGTATGATTAACTTTATACATAAGTTAACTGGTGCTTGGGGTAATTTGCTTCACTTAATTGAGGAAATTAATGGTGCCACGAGAGGCGCTTAGTTCACAGGTACTCTCTGTGAGACCCTCCTGCTTCATTTTCCTTTCTTTTCTTTTTTTTTTTTAAGCTCATTTGCACCGAAGGACTAACCTACTTCATTTTAAAGCAGCCATCAATACTTTCATACTCCTGAATGACAGAATTTTTTAAAGGTAAACTTTTTTAGTAGCACTCAAGACTATGCTTTCTGAAATTATTTCCAAATTAAAATTTAAGGTAATTTCTACTTGCAGGGAGACAAGAAGGGTGGTGGCACAGCTTTAGAGTGACTTTTTACCTTGAACTGCAAGATCAAGTAATATGATATACAAGAGTTTTATATTTTATTTTCAACTGGCAAATATGCAAGCATTCTCTGAAAGCATTTATTTATACCTTTTATGAAAAAGCCAAAAACAGATAAGTAGCATATAGCTTTAAGGTTGTTTTTTTTTTTAAATCAAGAGAATATATTGACAAAACAATGTTTTTAGGACGTAATCTTACATAAAATCCTTAACTGATTTGTTATAATCAATACTTCTCAACCATCACTCATATAAGATACTTTAAAAACTAGAGTTGGGGCAGAGAGATAAGGGAGACCCTGCTTTGAAAGTCATATTTTGTTGCAACATTTGCTTGTAAGAATATAGAGAGTGGAAGATAGTTATGCAGCACCGTGCAGAAAGCATTTTCTCTCTGTGCCTTTCTGATGATGTAGCCCAAACTCATTCTGGGGTATCTGCCCCCAAACCATATCTAGTTTACTATCGGAAAGCCAACAGATGGGATTCTATGTACTCAAGCAATGCTCAAATAATAGCAGTAATCACAGAGAGAGATATCACAGATCACTATATTTAGCCCAAAACCTCCTATCACTTTTTGATTATAGTTTGGTTAGAGGACCTTGCTTAAAAGGTCAGAACAGTTCTCAAAACCGAGGTCATATGAAGCAGCACGTTAAGTACTGAAATTTGGGGAGTACACGTCTTGAATCACAATGTCTAGCTGGTTTTGGAAGAAAGCCAGGAATTCGTTGCTCTCCTGACTGCATCGTTTCTAATTCCAAAGAACTAGCTTAGTTCCTAGTCCGGCATGCAAACAGCTGGGAAAGTCTACCGCAAAAGTTTACCATGATTAGTGGCCGAAAACGATCTTACCTCCTTAAGCAAGAAGCCGGCAGTCCTGCAAGCCCTTTGCACATCTTGTCTGAACAGTGGTATGGGATTCGCAAGTAGGAAAGAAATGCGGCAGCAGGAGGAGCTGTGGCTTCTGTTTTGAGCGCACTGTCGCCTGTTCTGCAGTAAAGATGCTGTCTTCTGAGCGTCTCCCTCCCGAGCCTGCAGGGGTCTCTTTTATAGCCCCAGCCATGACCGTCCAGCCAATCAGGTGGCAGCTCTGCAGTGCCGGGCTCCTCCGTCTCTCTCTCTCTCTCTCTCTCCCCCTCCAGACCCTGGCCGAGATGTGGGAGAGAGCACTGACGCATCAACAATGCAAAGGCACCACGCGGAGAAAATCCTCTTGCAAAGTAGACATACAGCAGGGGGAAAAAAAAAATTACTCAATGTCTCTACCAATGTCTGGGGTTTTGAACTCCTAGGGAAGGGGAAAAAAAAAAAAAAGAGTTTACATGCTGCAAAATATAGGGTTTATTCCTTTGTCTGCAAAAACAGTTATCAAGAAAAGTTGCCTGCTGGAAGGAAAGGTTCCAGCTGAAGTTCTAGGGGCTTATGTTGGGGCTAACTCCCAACCGCTTCCTCTTTTGATTAGAAATATCATTTCATACATGGTCCACGATCCTATCCTCACTATTTCCAGAAGGGAGTTGGTAGATTTGTTGTCTCCAGGCAGTGATTTGCAGAAGTTGCCTACTCGGTTGTCATGCAGACAGGGTGTGGGGAGAAATAGCTGGATGGCAGACAGTTATATGCCAGCAGCAGCATGGAAAAGCTAGCCTAGGGAAAATAGATGTGCAATACTGTTCTAGAAACCTTACTAAGAACAGAATCCAGGCTAGCACTGACAGTCTCTCCTGTACCTGCCTGCCTCCTATAAAAAGCCTAAAAGAGCAGCTTCAGAACTGAGGAGGGAGTAGATGAACAAATATAGACACCAATTCTTATTAGCTAATGGGTTTATGTCTTATGTGGCTCTAAGTCTCAAATTTCTATTTCAAAAAAAAAAGGGGGGGGAGAAAGAGAGAGAGCAAGCAGGTAGAAAAATATGTAATCTGCTTTAAATATCACCAGGCTTCAGACTAAATATAAAAATATGCAGCCCTAAAGGTGCTTCTGAACACCTGGACAATTAGTATCTTTCGGATACAACATTATGACTGAATTCTTAAAGAATCGTGTAGAGGTTTCGCATCTTATAGCTCAAATACTCACACCAGAGTTATAGGGGAATCTTCTTCAGGTAGGAAGGCTATTAGTGGAAGGAAGAAATTAATTGCTTTGTCTGACCAGAACAGCTTTTATTTTGAAAGCAAATAGGTTCCTGATCACAGGGTACAGTGAGCTGTATTTTATGTATAAGAAACAGAGGCATCAAATGGTGGAGAAGCTGAAAAACAGATGGATTCCAGTGAGATGCAAAGGTACCGAGAATATAGAAATGGTAAAGAACAATGCCTATATATGTCCCAGCCCCATATGTGCCACCCACCCCCATCCCCTTGTATGACTAGCAGAGCAAGGAGACGCAAATATAAAAGTGTGGAGGAATCATCATCTACAGAAGACACATTTAAATTACAGGAAAAAGTCTCTAGCCTTCTCTCATGAAGACAGATAGATTATTTATTAGATTAGCTACTAGGCACTTTTTCCTTGAATTATAACACAGAACAAATGAGAGCTGGCAGCCGTCCTTGGTGGTGATGTGGAATGGTCTACAGTACAATGTGAAATGAGAGAGGCTGTCAGACCAAGGGAGGTAGACCAGGGAAATGAACCAGTTAGAACAGGCATTAAAGAGGAGAGGAAAGTTAAAATGGAGAGAGCATTATTCAAAAAGGGACCAGGGTCTTCTTTACCTACCCGGGCACATAAAAGAGTGATCACTCAAGTCATCTGATTTTTAGGAACACACGAGAAGACCCAGAAAGATTTACTGATGCCTGAAATCCACAATAAGAACTCTCTGTCTTGGACCTAGAACAAGTGAAGGCTGATTAGTCATGAGTTAAATATAAATCACTGCAATAGATGAGCTGAATGGGACTTTAAAGACAATCTCGTATAACACCCTCATTTTACCAAAGAGGAAATAGAGACCCAGAGAGCAAAAGGGACTTGCCAAAGTCACAGCTTCTTACTAATAGAGCTGGGTCCAGGCCCAGGTTTCCCGATTCTAGGTTATGTGGATTTTCCACTGTGCTATCCTTTCGCTCAAAAGTCCTATCAAATGAGATAAACTGTGTAAATAGAGATATTTCTACACGGTAAAGTGTTAGGCAAATAATTTTTATTGTTAGATTATACACACTAGATAACATAACCCAATATTAATTTTATATATTTTTATTCAAGAAGCACTGACTCTGCCCAATTTTCTTTTGCTCCATGGAAGAAACAGCTGCTGCAGACCTCACTGCACTGGTTCTCTACCAAAACCAGGTCTTTTAAGCTTTGTGATTAGCCCATTACTCTGTGCAGGCATTTCTTATTCACTCACATCTTTGACTATCATTTCTTGCTTTCTTAGGACTCTTGATACTTTAAAGAATGTTTGAAAAAGCTTTCCATGAGTTAACTAATTTTTCACCATGACACTTGCTGATTGTGTTAGAGGAGGCGAGGACGGGTACATCATAATATCTTGACAGCTTCCACCTTCTTTCTCTGATCTGCACAAAGCATTAAATTTTATCATCCTATTATTTGTCATTCCTGGATGGTTCTGGCAATCTGGAAAAGCTTTGCTCTCAATAGATCTGTTGGGGTTTTTTGTATTTATTTATTCACTTGTTTAAGACATATCTTTGGAGCACCCACTCTGTGCCAGGTACTGTTTGAAGTGCTGCATTTAGCACGGTGAACAAGCAGAAAAGGTCTCCATCCTAGTAGAGGATACTGGTAGAAGGAGCCAGAAAACAAACAAATAAGATAATTCTGTATTTGGACCTACACCATGAAGAAAATAGACAGCATATGTACTAAAGTGTTACCGGATGGGGAAGGGCTTGTTTAGCCAAGGTGGTTAGGAAAGGCCACTTTGAAGAGTTGGTGTCCAGAATGAGACTTAATGGGTGAGAAGGAGGAAGCAATGCAAGAAGCCTAGGAAATAGTATTCCAAATAGAAGTAAGAGCAAGTGCAAATATTCCTTACCTAAATTGGGAAAGAACAAAAGGGGGCCGGCATGGCTAGTGAGTCAAGAACAAGGAGGGAGTGGCATAAAATGAGATATTAATAGAAAGGTAGAAGCTAGATCCTGCAAGGATTTGTAGGCTATGGTCAAGAGGCTGGACTTTATCAAAGCACAATGGAAAACCGTGGAAGGGACTGCTGAAGCAGACAATGGGCATGATCAGATCATTCTGACTTGTGGGAGAATGGAGCAAAGTGAGTGGGCAGAGTATGGGGATAGAGAGACCACTCAACAGACTTAGCAGGTTGACTCCTGGTTCATCAGTTTCTACTTTGCAGAATGGAGAATTACTTCACAAATATTCATTACACGCTATGCACCAGATATTCTTCTGGGCTCTGGTGACCTAAATAGAAAGCAGAAATGGTTTTTGCTTTTCAGGAGCTGACACTGTAATGGGGAGGACTCTTAACCAACTGGAAAACATGAGGTTGAGTGCCATTATTATAAACTTGTATGTATAATAAGTCCTCACTTAACATCATCAGCAGGTTTTCAGAAACTGTGACTTTAAGCGAAATGATGTCCAACAACAGGCCCTTGAATAATGTCATTTCCATTTAATGTCATTTCATTATAATGTTGATGAAAAAAATCGCTTTTCTTATGCATCATTTCACTTAACATCGCAATTTCCAAGAACCTATCCATGAGGTTAAGTGAGGATTTGCTACACAAAACTCCAGGAAAGCACAGAGGGCGGAGCATAAACTCCATCTTTGGGATTTGGAGTGGTTTTCACGAAGGATACTGTTAAAGGATAAGTAGAGATATAGCAGCTGTACAAAGAAGAAAAGAGCATTACGATAGAGGGCACGATCGTAACAGGTCGTTTCACTGGGCACTAAATGTGCAAGGCACTGTTTTAAGCACTTTATATCAATTTACCCATTTATTCCTCATGGTTCATCCTCCTATGATAATTCTCATTTTATAGATGAGACATAGAGGGTTAAGTAACTTACCTGAGGTTACACATCTATTAAGTGGTGGTGACAAGATGCCAACGCAGGCATTCTAACTCCAAGGTCTCTGCTGTTAACCTCTGTGCTATCATAACCGTAAAGGATAAAAGAAAGTGGATTGTTTGAGTACCATAGAGGTGTTTAGCACGATTGCAGTGCTAGAGTTCAGAAAACGACACCCCAAAATATGATGCTTTTGCATGCTGACTACTTTGAACTAAAGGAGATTGCAAGTCCTCAGAAACAACCTCAGAAACAAAATCTCTCTCTGGCCTCCTCCTGCCCTCCTGTCTGTCACCCCTGTCACTCCCCCAAAGAGAGTCATGGAAACCAGAATTTCTTTTCCTTGAGGTGGGTCATGAAAACTGGAACCCCTCTCCCCCAGAGTGAGCCATAAAACCTAGAAAAGTCACTTCCTCCCTCCTCCCTTGAAGACTCTCATTCCTGGGAGGTCCTGCCCCATACCCAGGAGGAAGGAATGCTACACAGAAAAGTCAAGAAGATTCTGAATAGATGGGTCTTACTGGGTTTCCATCCCTCAAGCTATTACCATTCTATCATACCCTTTTGTCTAATCACACTTCTACACAGCTGCCCCTTCTCCATCAAACCTATGCATGAAAGTAGACAATTTTCCCTGGGTCTTTGGGTCCCCACATCTGAAGGCTTCTACATTGTGCAGAACCTTGATTAAATAAATTTGTCATGCTGTTCTCCTGTTAGCCTGTCTTTTGCTGGCTGTGACCCTTACAATGGGTGAGGAGAGGTTTTACACCTTTTCTGCCCCTGTGGCAGCTTGAGGGAGAAAAAGAGAGAAACGAGGATGTGTGAGTACTCTGAAAACCAAGGGGTGTTTCTTGTCACACTGAAGAACAGAATTTATTCTGTAGTTTCTGGAGGGTTTCTGGGAGTGGCTAGCCAAAGTATTTAAGCTGAACAGATTGGTGTTCTAGAAAGAAAACTTGGGAGGCAGAGTAGAATAGATTGGATGTAAGAGAAATTGGCCAAAAGTTTGAAGCCTATTACAATAGTCCATGTGAAAGGTGAGGATGATAAAAATATGAGCAAGGTAGTTGCAAGAATCAGTTGGGTAATGCATGTAAAAGAGTTACTTCGACTGTAAAATGCTGAACATTTGGAGGGTCCTGTTGACAATA